ATCATCAATGTAGTCGTCATCCTCCCCTTCGCTCTCCTCCTGCTCCTCATCATGATGTTCCAGCCCACTCGTTATCTGAACCCCACCAACCGTAAGCAAACGTTTCTCTATCTGTCTGATGATGTAGATGTAATAAGCAATTAACTTCAGAATCGGAGTAGGCACTATTCTTACCCGTGCATTTGGTTTGTTCTGAGATGTTCTCTTCTTTTTACCCGCCATAATAAACATCCCATCCTTGAAGAGTGACCGGTTGAGGATCCTCGTATTGCTCCATGTGGCTCTTGCGTATTCACTGCCTCCCGTCGGTCCAAAAACGGATATCAATAGCAGAGGGAAGACATTGTCTATCGCAATTGATTGGAACTCCTTCACTGTCTTCCATGGATTCTTCTTAGCTTCTTCCATCAATGTCTTGGGGAAAGTGGTGAGCTGAAAATCACCACCAAGTGAGGAGAACATCGAAAACCCAGATCCAGATTCCATAACATCTTCTTTCCCATTGCGAACGATATATTGCCATACTTTATCAACATCTGGAAACTCCAGTGCTGGGTACTTTCTGCACAGAAGATTGAGATCTTTCTTGAATGAACTGATCCCATTTTGAACAAGCATTGGAAGATACTCTTCTTTGAAATACAACGTACCACAGCGAACACCGTTATCTGAATCTGTTATCAAACTAAGTGGCAGTTGTGCTGATACCACACATTGCTTGGAAAGATCCCTTATGTGTAAGAGTGTCTCAAACCTCGGAAGGCTTTGTCTTGATGTGTTGATAAAGTGTTGGAATGTCTCGTTCTCGGTGTCGTCGTCAAAAGAGCTCGAAATCAATAGCTTGGTAAAATTGACAACGGCATCCATTCGCCGGGCCTGTAACGAGGTTTTCAGCAAATCAGTTACGACAAACTGGTTACGTCCCTCGGATTCATGTTTTGGAGCAAGGCCTACCAGCAGAAGTGCACAGCTGTCCGAATACAGTTCCACGTTTCCTGGGTCAACCATCATAATGCGTGTTGCCTTAGCAAGAGCAAGTGTCACTTC